GAGCACATGAAAAGAAACATTACCACAGTAGTAAAAGGAGGTCGAAAACTCATGACCATTTTTATGACTTTGTTTTCTTTCACATTCTATCTTTCCCATCCCTGCCCATTACACACGTACGTTCCAGGCTTAGAGCTAGAACCAACGTAACTTCAAAACATACCCTTTTAAGTCTTATACATTACAAGGAGTCCCAGTTCTCAAAGCCTCCTCGAAGGACACTTTTCCGGAGCCAACGAATCCGTGATCTCCAATCCGGCCAATAAACGCATCTCGAGCCGCCCAAGGACAAAGCCACACTCGCTCTAGAGTATCAAGAGCTTTTCTCTATGCATGACCTCTGACCTCCCCCATCTCTGCCCCCTCCTAAAAGGCGCTGCCTCAGGACGCGGCACTTTATCACCCTCCCCCCCCACCCCCACCTCCTACCCCCCTTTGCCTCCTGACCTACTCTAGCCTGCGCCTTCACCCTATACCCCTTCACCCTGCCCTTTGGTGTCTACACTTCCACTCCTTTTCAAAAGTGTTTCCCTTTTGCTTTTACCTTCCTTTTATCCCTTTCCTTGCCTACTCGTTTTTTTTTTTTTTTTTTTTTCTCTTTCAGACTGCATTTTCTTGATTTATCTTTACTTCGAAGTCTACACAAAAGCATCGGAATAAATGAAACCCTAAAATGAATAAATAAATAATTCAAAAAACAGCAGCAGGGGTCCATGTTTTCTCTCTTTCTATCGTTATTTCGTTTAGTCCTTGCTCCGACGTGTCGCTTTTGATGAACCTCAAAAAAATCAATTTCGAACCACGGATTTTGTCTTAATTATACCACAACTACTCATGCATAAGCTGACAATCTTTGGGGAAAATTCAACTTTATTTTTTAGCTCGTTTTTGTCCCTCTACTTCTGAGGTCGACAATTCCCTCCCAGCTTCTCTTATTGCCCATTCCCTTCCCTCCCCTCTCTTTCCCTTCCCTCCCACCCCATCGCCTCTGTTTCCCTTCCCACCCATCCCTCTATTCCCTTCCCTCCCTCCCCTCCCCTCTCTTTCCCTTCCCTCCCCTCTCTTCCCTTCCCTTCCCTTCCCTCCACTCCCCTCCCTCACAAACCCTCCAGTCTTCTCCCCCCACACTACATCGCCTTGGAGAGAGGGAAAGGGGTAATAATGCGGGAATTGTTTATACCCAGCCCTGCCACTTCCCCTCTGCCCCTTCCACCCCCCCTTCACACCATTGCACGTGCACCTTCGGGAACCTTTTTACGGTCGGGATTACGGGAGCTGATTTTTTTATGAAGTTCCAGAGGTGGGCAAGATGGGCTTCGTTCCGATCAAAGACAATAAACGTAGCTACGTACTGTGTGTGTGTGTGTGTGTGTGTGTGTGTGTGTGTGTGTGTGTGTGTGTGTGTGTGTGTGTGTGTATTAGTGTGTGTGTGTGTGTGTGTGTGTGTGTGTGTGTGTGTGGTGTGTGGTGGTGTGTGTGTGTGTGTGTTGTGTTGTGTGTGTGTGTGTGTGTGTGTGTGTGTGTGTGTGTGTGTGTGTGTGTGTGTGTGTGTGTGTGTGTATTAGTGTGTGTGTGCGTGTGTGTGTGCGTTGTGCGTGTGCGTGTGCGTGTGTGTGTGTGCGTGTGTGTTGTATTGGAGTATGTGCGTGTATTGGAGTGTGCGTGTGTATTGATGCGCATCTGCCTGCTTCTGCGTCGCGTCCTGTTGCTCAGTGCGCGTGTGCATATAACCGTGCGCTGTGATCAACATCAATTCTGCGAGGGCGAAAGAGGCGCAAAGAAAAAGCGCTGTCGGTGACGTCACGAATGGGCGGCGATTCGGACCCGACCGAGAGGGTTCCCCGCGCAGCAACAAGGGGCCGAAGGAGCCACAGGAAGAAAAGACGACATGACCCACAACGAGCAACAGGAGGAAATGGCGAATCAGCAACAAAACACGGAGAAAACAAGGAAATAACAACACCATAAAATAACGACAACACAGAGAAAACAAAGAATATACAACACAAAAAAAAACAACAACACTGAGAGAAAACAAAGAATATACAACACACACAAAAAAAACTGACAACAGCACAGAGAGAAAACAAAGAATATACAACACCAAAAAATAATAATAAATAAAACACAAAAAAAATAACGACAACAAAGACAAAACAAAGACAGCTAGACGAGGATCGGCAGGGCTATGGACAGCGATGGCCGAAGGAGAAGGAGGAGGACCAGCAGTGACCATGAAAGGCCAAGACGAAAGGATATGCGTTTAAGGAAGACGCCGGACGCAGAATGCTAACTCAGGACGGGCAGCGGCAGCAACAATAACAGCAACAGGAACCCTCGCTGCCAGACAAGGGTCGTGTGCAGGTCGGCTCGTCTGGCAGAACCCCAAGGTCTTTCCCTCTCGCCCGCCCCGGCTGCGCTGTCGGTTTTTTTTTTACACACAGGATAAACCTTTCGCTCAGACTTACTCGTGCGCGAAAATGCAGGGGTCGTTAATTAATTGATTATATGTTTTAAAAATTAGTTTTTTTCCCTCTCCAAAAAGGATCTAATAGGTTATGGTAGAGTTGTAACCACCGTCATTTGTATTCGGTTTAAGCGTTTTATTTCGAGAACTCCGACGTGGCCTACAAACATCGCGACTGTTTGTCTAGGGTTTGATGTTTAACGGTTCAGCGGTTTGTTTGTCATGCTATTACAGGGCCTCGGGCTGGAGCGGCCGCCAGGCAAACAGCCCTATTTCCGTCTTCCTACGGGTGCCGCAGGGAGGCATGTCAGAGCGGGTCGCCCCGGTGCTGTGTGTTGTGTGATGCACTCGAGATCCACCACATTGTTTGCCTATATACCGATCTTATAGACAGATAGACTCGTGAATATATATTAGTGTTGGCGTATAGCCGAGGTATGTGCATAAATGGCTTATTGATCTATATTTGATGCTCTATATATATATATATTATAATATAGTAGTGTTATATGAAATAGATATATAAAACTATAGGATAACGAATAGTATATATTGACTATATATTAATGGGTGACGTATATTATATACTCTATACGTCTATTAGCTTATGATTTCATATGATGTCCGATATCGTACTCTTCTACTATATAGCTATATATCACCTATATATATAATGGTATATATATATCGGCCTTACGTAGTGAATAATAACGTTATCTATATATTATATATATATATGCTCCTATAGGGATCTTTACCTCTGAGTATTATTATATAGTCTTATATATACTCGCGATTTATTTATACTATATTTATTACCCGGTATNGGAGATTGAGGCATGAGATAGGAGGGGAGAAGTGGAAGAGACGAGGGAGATCGCGAGACTGGAGAGTGCTCAGAGAGAGGAGGGGAAAGAGTCGGGAGATGGAGAGGAGGATGACGATAGTGTGAGAGAGGAGAGAAGACAAGGAGGTAGGAGAGTGAAATGCGGAGCGAGTGACAACAACCAAACGATCTCCAACCACCAGTGAGCTGACGCAACCAACGAATTCTGCCAACCACCGTTGAGTGACAACAACCAACCCGACTCCTGCCCAACACACCAGTGGAGTGACAACAACCAACGATCTGCCAACCACCCAGTGGTCAGTGACAACAAAGCCAACGATCTGCCAACCACAGTGGAGTTGACAAAACAAACCCAATAATGATTCTGCCAACCACCAGTGGATTGACAACACAAACCAACGATCTGCCAACCACCAGTGTGAGTGACAACAACCAAACGATTCTGCCACACCACCAGTGAGGGGAGATGGAACAGAAAACAGAACCCCTCACAGATCTTGCCATACACCAGTGGAGAAAGTGACAACAACCAACGAGTCTGCTAACCACCAGTGCGAGAGCTGGGAGAAGTGACAACAAAACCAACTACTGACAGACACACGAAGTGGGTAGTGACAACAAACGACAAACGAAGTGCTGCCAACACCCATTGTGAGTTGGACAACAAACCAGATGCATCTGCAACCAACAGCTGGTGGTGGACAACAACCAAGACGATCTGCCAAACCAAACCAGTGGTGAGTTATGTTCGTAACAACAATCCAATGATCTGGCCAGACCACCCAGTGTGAAGAGTAGAGACAACCAATCGAATCTGCCAGACCACCCCAGTGAGAGTGGACACACAACCAATGAATCTGCCAACCACCAGTGGGAGTGACAACACCAACGAGGTATCTGCCAACCACCAGTGGAGTGAGAAGTAACAACAACACAACGATCTGCCAAACACCAAGTGGAGTGACAACAACAACCAATGATCTGCCAACCACGAGTGATGAGTACAACCAAAGATCTGCCAACCCACCAGTGAGAGTGACAACCAACGATCTGCCAACCACCAGTGGAGTGACAACAACAACGATCTGCCAACCACCAGTGGAGTGACAAACCAACGATGCTGCCAACCACCAGTGAAAGTTGACAACCAGAGATCTGCCAACACCAGTGGGTAGTGCAACAACCAGAGATCTGCCAACCACCAGTGGAGTACAAAACCACCAACGAGGTCTGCCAAGAGCCACCAGTGGAGTGACAACAACCAACGCCAACTTGATCGCCATCAACCAACGATCAACCACCAGTGGAGTGACAAAAACGAAATTGATCTGCCAACCACCAGTGGAGTGACAACAAACGATTCGCCACAAGCCACCCAGATTGACAACCCAACGATCTGCCAACACCAGTGGAGTGAACAACAACAACGATCTGCCAACCAAACAGGAGGAGTGACAACAACCAACGATCTGCCAACCACCAGTGAGTGACAACAACAACGATCTGCCAACCACCAGTGTGATTGACAACAACCCGATCTCCAACTGCCCAAAAAAACCCCAACGATCCCCCCACCAGTGGAGTGACAAACAACCAACGATCTGCCAAACACCAGTGCGAGTGACAACCAAACCGTGATGTCTGGCAACCACCAGTGGCAAGTGACAACAAACAATGCATGACATGCCAACCACCAGTGGAGTGACAACAACGATCTGCCAAACCACCAGTGAGTACAACCAACGATCTGCCCAACCAAGTGGAGTGACAACAACCACGATCTGCAACACCAGTGAAGTGACAACCAACGATCTGCAACCACCAGTGGAGTGACAAACAACCAACGATCTCCCAACCCACCAGTGGAGTGACAACCAACGATCTGCCAACACACCAGTGGAGTGACAACAACCAACGATCTGCCAACCACCAGTGAAGTGGACAACCAACGATCTGCCAAACCACCAGTGGAGTGACAACAACCAATGATCTGCCAACCACCAGTGGAGTGACAACAACCACGATCTGCCAAACCACCAGTGAAGTGACAACCAACCGATCTGCCAACCACCAGTGGAAGTGACAACAACAACGATCTGCCAACCACCAGTGGAGAGTGACAACAAACCAACGATCTGCCAACCACCAGTGAGTGACAAACAATCTCCCAAACCACCAGTGAAGTGACAAAAAACGATCTGCCAACCACCAGTGAAGTGACAACCACGATTCTGCCAACCACCCAGTGGAGTGACAACAACCAATGATCTGCCAACCACCAGTGGAGTGACAACAACGACCGCCTGCCAACACCAGCAACCAGTTCTGCCAAACCACCAGTGTGGAGTGCCAAGACAACCCAACGATCTGCCAACGCCAGTCTCAACGATCTGCCAACCACCAGTGGAGTGACAAACAACCAACGATCTACCAACCACCAGTGGAAGTGACAACAACGACGATCTGCCAACTACCAGTGAGTGACAACCAACGATCTGCCAACCACCAGTGGAGTGACAACAACCAACGATCTGCCAACCACCCAATGAAGTGACAACAACGACAACAACAATGATCTGCCAACACACCAGTGGAAGTGACAACCAACGATGTGGAGTGACAACAACCAACGATCTGCCAACACCACCAGTGGAGTGACAACAACCAACTGATCTCCCAAACCACCAGTGGAGTGACAACAACCAACGATCTGCCAACCACCAGTGGGGAGTGACAACAACCAACGATCTCCCAACCACCAGTGGAGTGACAAAGAAATGAACCAAGTGAAGTGACAACAAAAGATCTGCCAACCACCAGTGAAGTGACAACAAGATCTGCCAACCACCAGTGAAGTGACAACAACCAACGATCTCCAACACCAGTGGAGTGACAACCAAAGATCTGCCAACCACCAGTGAAGTGACAACCAACGATCTTCCAACCACCAGTGGAGTGACAACAACCAACGATCTGCCAATCACCAGTGAAGTGACAACAAAAAAGATCTGCCAACCACCAGTGGAGTGACAACCAAAGATCTGCCAACCACCAGTGAAGTGACAACCAAATAACGATCTGCCAACCACCAGTGAAGTGACAACCACATCTAATGCTACTACAATATCTGCTAAAACTGCATCATCCAATACTAGTACATTCACTAATCCTACAACAATCACTGAAACCACGTTGTCTGCTAATAATGCTTCATTTAATACGTCTGTGGTATCTGCTGCTGTGTCTGGGGAAATTTCCGTGTTTCCTGGAAGTACAACATCTAGTGATTCTATAGGCTACACTGTCAATACAACATCTAATTCTAACACAACTTTCACCACCATTGCAGCCTCTGATATTACTGCAATACCTACGGTCTTCACAGCATCCAGTAACAATATAGTATCTCCTCCCACAACAGTACCCAGTGTTAATACTGTATCATCTGCTACTACAGCCTTTACTGCTATTGTAGTGCCTGCTGACACCATAGCATCTACTACTATCTCATCTTCTGAATCTGCTGCTTCATTTAAAGGCACTGCATCATGTGCTGACGGTACAGTGAACGATATAGCAGCATTAACTACCAATACAACATTCAGTGCTACTGCAACATCTACCAACACTACAGCACCCGTTGCTGCATTACCATCTACTAATAATACAGCAACCGACGCAGATACAGTTTCTGTTATAACTACATCAGAAACTACTTTAATGTCTTCTAAAGATAGAATAACCAATACCGCGTTTTCTGACATTTGGTAACAAATACCACAGCAACAAATGCTACAGCCACTACAATAAGCAATGCTACTATAGGGTCTATTACTGTTCCTACAACAGTGTCAACTAGTACTACTATATCTAATGCTACAGGAGCATTAACTACTAATGAAAGTACAGTGCCACCCAAATCTACCATAGCAGCTGATATTGCAGTATTTACCAACAATACTAGATTATCAAATGCTACTACAATGTCTACAGCCACTACCCACTCGACTGAATCCGAAACTATTACAGCATCTGCTTTTTACAAATTCCATGGAAGTGGAGAACATCTAACAGAACTACTGCAAATCTAATATCAAGTGCTGCCATCACCACAACAGACAATGCTATTTCAGCATCTGCTGATATTACCAGTAACGGATGCTGCCATAGAGTCAAAAACGCCTAACGGCACTTTTACCACCACTATAGTGTTTAGATGCTACCACAGCTACTTCTGACATTGCAACATTAATGCTTCAATACCATCTGCAATCACTACATCAAATTATACTGAAGAATCTACCATCGTTATGGAACCTAACCTGCTACAGAGTCTATTGCCATTGCTGCTACCATATCTATTGACACCACATCTAATACTACTCCAGAGACAAACAACGTTACAGCATCTACTGCCCCTACAGTATTCAATTCTACTTGTCCGTAGTGGCACTACAACAACCAACGAAATAAAAGTTTTTGCCACTGAAAGCAAAGCATTTAATACCAGTACAGCATATACTGGCACTATTGCCTCAACTGAAACCACAACATATATTACAGTTCCAGATCCACTGCTACTGCCATTACGACATCCAATGATACAGCAGTATCTACTAACACTATAGTATCCAATTCAACATCTGCTACAACAATCAGTTATTCTGGACCTACTAGTACTGCAGATTATACTGCTACTACTGCATCCGCTGATACAACAGAATATACTACCATAAATGATATTCAATGATAGTACAGCACTGACTGACACTTTAACGTCTAATGTTACTACAGAGTCTGCTTCCACTATAACATTCAGTGGTACTGGTACTTACAAGTTCTACTGTTACTTCGACATTCAATTCTACTGTAGCATCTACCAAGTCTTCAGCACTTCAGTACAAACGATCAGTGATACAATATCGATATTACAAAACTACTGCACTAGCAATCATACTACATCTACTAGCCCTCAAGCATCCAATACTACCGAAGTGTTTACAGCCACTGCAGTATCAAGCTCTACTTTGACATATGTCAGTAATAAGCTTCAAAATGTACCTATGTATCAAGTGAACTACAGCATCCAGTACTATAGCAACATCTACTGACATTACAGGATCCAATGCTACATCTGACAGAACAGGATTTAATGCTACATCTATCACTGCAGCCTCCTATGCTACAGCAATATCTGCTGATTTTGGAGAATCTAATGTTAAAGCAGCATCTACTATTCTACAGTTTCCAGTTCTGTAACGACATCTGATACACTATGGTACTCCTCAATACTACTGGAACATCCATTACCACTGACATTGCAGCAAACTCTGGCACTACGAAATCCATATTACTGCAAACATAGCATCAAGTGCAACAGGATTTACCACAGTTACTACTGCCTCTACTGTCAAAATGACAATGGCATTTACTGCCACTACAGCTGCTGGCGCAGCTTAGCATCTAATGTTGCATTCACCGACTCTAAAGCAACTACTGAAAATACAGCATCAAATGTCATTGCCGATTTTACCGAAACTACATCTGTAACTACTACCGAATCTGTAATTGTAGCATTTGATATTACCACAGACTCTGTTGAAACTACAGCATCCAAAAATTTAACTGATGGAGTGCTTGATGCGGTTGAGCTAACCATCAATGAAACGTCTAAAAACAATGAACTATCTTCTGCAGCCGATTCGACTACATTTAGAGAAGCGAACAACACCGCTGAAGTCCCTCCTACAGATCTGGCCGAACTTTCTATATAGCTACCGAAGGGTGTTTTAACGGTGATACATCTACTACAACTGAAACCTCCCCTGAGATGAAGTCGTCATCCGCAGAGGCTTCTGCTACTGCCGAGAAATCTTATAACCAAGAAACCTCTACAACTACTGGTTCATCTTCCATCATTGAAGGTATCAACGGATAATGAAACTTCTATCCATTGAAACGACTATCTAGCCTAAAGTGTCTACCGTCACTGAGGCACCTACTGATTTCTGTTACGTCTGCCACCACTGAAATGCCAACCGGCATAAGAGGATCAAACAATATCATAGTACAACTACTGAAGATATGCATATCAATGGTAAAGTTTCTACTTCCATTGAAATTTCCAAGCACTGAAGAACTGCTCACTACTACAAAATTATCTAGTTAAGTTGAACTGAAGTCTGCTAGGCATCAGTGCAGTGAAAGTATCAACGATTTGTTTGAGTGTGCAAATTTATAAAAGGCAATATGATAGACAATTATGAATAAATAATTACGAAGGGGCATCATAACCTGCAACAGTAATACCCAGTGATATTACAGTATTTACTGAAATTCGTGCAGCTTTGAAGTGTCTGAAGTATCTATCACAAAAGAAAGATTTTACCGCTCTAGAAGTGATAACTGGTTCTGAAGTGTCTAGTGCTTTGAAACATCTATAACAATAACCACTAGTTCTGCTGAAGCATCTACCAAAACAGATATATATACCACTTCTGAAGTGTCAAATGCTTCTGAAGCATCTACTATTACAAAAATATCTACCGCTTCTGAAGCGTCTAGTGTTCCCGAAACATCTACCATTATAGAAATGTCTCTCTTTTGCTGAAGCATTGGACCCAACAGAAATGTCTACCGCTTCTGAAGTGCCTAGTGCTGCTGAAACAACCAATTCTACAAAAGTGTTTACTGCTTTTGAAGAGTCTAGTGTTACTGAAGCAGTAAACTCTTCAGAGATGTCTTCCTCTTCTGGGGATATATATGCATATATATATATGTGTGTGTGTGTGTGCGCGCGCGCGCGCGTACACACAAAATACACACACATATATAATATATATGTATATATATACAGTATATATATATATATATATATATATATATATATATATATATATATATATATATATATATATATATTATATATATATATAGTATACACACGCACACACATATGTGTGCGTGTGTGATTTCGAAAAGGGCAGTGTGTTTGATTCTGATTGTAAGAAAGGGAACATCCATGGAAAAATGTGCGAAAGATCTATCAAAGGGCACCAAAAGCTACTTTGCCAAGAGTAATATGCCAGTTGGGATATGTTTAAAAAAACATAAATGCACATTTAAGCTATTAAAAAAAAAAAAAAAAAAAAAACACATTTAAGAGAGTCGGAATATCAGTTCTCATGATACTGGATTAGATATTTTTTCCACATATGCATCGCATTATTACACTGTACACTGTACGCATAATTATGTTCATGTCATTTTCAGTAATTACTAATGTCACTACAGCTGGCATTTCCAACTGCAATTATTTATTGAATTATTTGTTAATAATAAACATACTAATCACGAACAGTCAATACTTCATCCACAGTTACAGTTCACATCGATAGCTGCTGCAAAGTCATCTTTTCCATCTACAGTAGATCGAAAGGAATGATTTTTCTCAACGATTTTAAATCTGGTCATACCGCCTCATATATTCTATATTCATCTACAATCACTATAGACAGTGTGAAGTCAACAGTAACTTATCTCTGATGTCAAGGAAACTGTTGAGCGGAAGAGGTCGACAGACTTTTCCATCCACAGAACTTTACACCACAGATCCATCATGATAGAGCACTAAATCTATATCTTCACAATCTATCTATCTCCTGACAACTCTATTCCGCCAATTATTAGAGAATCATCTATAGTCTCGGCACAATCTGCTCTCAGACACATCTTCAACGGCTCCTAATTTTAAAGAATTTGCAAGTTAAGTTCGCACAAAGTCAGATCAGAATACAACCAGATTATTGTGAAGTATATAATCTAATACCTTTGAATTGATTAACCAGCGAGTAGAATCTACAGCCAATGCAATGTCTACTTTGAGAGTGTTCACCAGTTTATATACCACCACTGCTAAGTCTTTCCATCATACCTTATGATTCTACTATATCTGGTAGGTCTACTGATACTTACGAATCTGCCACCACTAATGTTTCCTACAAAACCAGGTCCCACTGCCAGTAGTGTATATTTCAAATCTTATAATACTGCCACTGATTTGTCTACCACCATATCTGAGCCGACTACTTTGTCTACCAATACTGCTGAGTCCAGCACCAACGGTCTGTCTGCACAAATTTCCGTTCCTGCTGCCCCTGATGTTTTTGTTCCTGCTGCTGAGAGGGAGCCCTTAACCTTTGTGTCCCTGGCTTGTCGAGGTAAAAATCCCATTCTGTTGTCACTGAAGTATCTGCTATCACGTTTTTTTTTCCACCGCTACTTGTATATCGACTAAAAAATCTCAGTAGCATGTCGCTGGTTTATCTCCGATCAGCGCTGAGTCTGTCACCCCTGTCATATCGCCCAAACCTATTCCATCGTGTGTCTACCACTTCTGATTTTACTGCAAGAGATGTATTTGCTGCTGTTTCTTAGTTTACTACTTGTATGTATTCAACAGCTAGTGCACCTGTGATTTTTTTTTTCTTTTTTTTTACTGCCACTCATGTAACCATAAACACTTTTCCGCGTATAACTACCAATACATCTGGTTCTACTACAAATGTGGCTTCCACCAAACCTGTACCTACCTCCACTGGGGTGTCCATCACTTCTGGATCTTGCACCACTGGAGTATCTATGAAAGCTCCCACTAATGACTCTACCATCACAGGTGTGTATACCAAAATGTATAACTCTGTACTCTCTCTCTCTCCTCTCTCCTCTCACCCCTCTCTCTCTCTCTCTCTCTCTCTCTCTCTCTCTCTCTCTCTCTCTCTCTCTCTCTCTCTCTCTCTCTCTCTCTTCTCTCTCTCTCTCTCTCTCTCTCTTCTCTCTCTCTCTCTCCTCTCTCTCTCTCTCTCTCTCTCTCTCTCTCTCTCTCTCTCTCTCTCTCTCTCTCTCTCTCTCTCTCTCTCTCTCTCTCCTCTCTCTCTTTCTCTCTCTCTCTCTCTCTCTCTCTCTCTCTCTCTCTCTCACACACACATACACGCACACATAAATGTATATATATATGTACCATATTCTTTTACCCTGTCTAATTTATCTTTATTTATTTCGCCTTTCTCCTTCAGCGTTTAGTGAATGAAATATATGGCTTTATGAACTTTATGTATTATGGCCTATCTGAGTTAGATGAAAGAGCTGGTCTGGACCGGTATCGTTGTGTGTATATCCTTGTAGGTGCATGTTTAGAAAACGGTCAATATTTTATCCTTACAATTTACATTTTTTTGTTTATACTTTCCTGTGGAACTGAAGGTAAAGATTTAAAAATTTTTCTCAAAAAACCCTTAGCGTCCGATGATGTTACTGTAGCTGGTAGGAAGGTACGGAAAAAAGATTCTTTAAATGTAATAGTTACCCCTAAACATATATAAGATTCGTCTTCTATGTTACGTATTGGATATTAAGAAAACGATAATCTTTTATATTCCATTGTATCACAGACTCGTATAGACTAAAATATCTACTTGAAGATACCAGATTAGTCTCTCTGTTAAAACTATAATCATGATTTTGAAGTCAGTAATATTTAATGTATTTTAACAGCTTAGTTTTATTCATCTACTTTTCCTAAAATTATTCATATTATTATGATAACAATTATTTATTTTTTTACTTAGTCATATAATTCTGCTTTCAGGTGCAAGCGGAAGAAGCAGTCGTGCTGATAATGTTCGTGTGCCATAGATCACCCACCAGCCATCCGCTTGTCTTTACCACGTCGAACGATCATAACGCCACGAGGACCAGCTGAACTCTTTCTGGGAGAGTCAAACGCTATCTGCTCTCCTGTCAAGCCTTCATCATTTGTGATATGGTGTTTGTGAACGCGAGACACGGGAAAACTCTATGCGAGGACGTTCATTTACACACGAAGACCCTCTTTGAAGTACGGATTAACTAAGAGTGAATTTGCAGTGCCTCTTCCACCATGTGTGTCAGCTGCTAATCCGGAGGTAGTTCTATCCTTCTATTCCTCGTTCACGCAAATTCTTTCCAAACTTTACTTGCTCAAAAAGCTACAGGCAGACCGATCGGACACAGCTGTGTTGCAAGAAAATTGGTGTGAAGTTGTAAAGTTATAACGTGCAGGAACTGTAACAACGTAGAGGCTTGCGATAGTATGGGTAAACATCTTTTTTTCTACCTATTCATGAAATTAAAATTAACTTATAAGTATACCTGACAATCAAAGATTTGCCTGATAATCTGTGCATTATATTCAACATTTGTATATATGTTCAAAGTACTTTCAAACAAAACAAAATATAAACTAAAACAAACAAACTAGTTTCTCTCTAAAAATAGACTCTGGCAGCTTTAAACGTTTCATATTTTCCCGAATATAGGTCTCGGGTATTGCAATTTTCAGCAACTGTCACGGAAGCTGGATTTCAACTTTTTGTGAAGTATTAGTAGACACCTTTACAAGCGCATTACTGAAGAATCTTCACTTCCCTTCTAACAACACTCCCTGACTACTTCATATATAGTTTTGTGCCTTACACACACACTCTCGTACGTATACACATAAGTATACGCGCTACTCCAGGTCATTTTTTATGCCTTACACACACACTCGTACGTATACACATAACAACTATACGTACTACTCCAGGTCATTAAACTGCCTTAAGTACCTCAAAATATACATTCAGCACCACGAAACAAACACAGTTAATAAGGAGACCTCATTTCATTCCATACGCATTAATATGGTCGTATCGCGGTCTTTTCTCTTTGCTAACTGTCTCAAACCACCTCCATT